TGGAATAAATTTATAAATGAACAAATTCGCGTGCGATAATAATTGTGAAGACTAGGAACTATTTTCTCTGATCAAACCGTACAGTAAAAAAGTCTTTGATTATTTGACTCTCTGCAATTTATTAGCAAACGCCAATTCTATGTAAATAGTTCTACGTCTCGTGGTTTAAATTAAACAGTATATTTCTCATTAATGGTGCTAATTAAAGCTACAGGTACACGCATTGTTGCGAAATGGAGAACTTGTCATTTGCATGGAGTGTCTAATGAAGTCTTTGGTTGCCTTATAAATCTAGTTAGTTATCTCTTTTCAACTTGAATTACCAAGTGCGCTTTTCAAAAGTTTTTTTTTTCATATGTGAGCATAAGATTTGACGGCACAATACCGTAATGGCTGAAAATTTGGTTTTCATTCCTTTATTTTTCATTTGTATCTTATTTTCTGATGTGAAACATGCATATTAATCCAATTATATCGCTTATACATCTGATGGGATTTGAAAACCAGAATTCCCCTGCACTTTTTTTCATTTAAAAAAAAACCAACAGCCGCTGATTTGCTACTAGATAAATACATTTATAGGTAGTATTAGTTTCTATCGATATATCCGTTATTAATCGATTACATAGATTTATCGAAGGTTTCTACTAATTCCTGACAAGAAATAATTGATGGTATCAATTTTAATAATGTTTGCATCGCATCCTTGGTCTACAGTGTAATTATCCGCGCCTCCAGTGCGAACACTGGACAATCGGACTGGGCGCTCTTAGGGAGCGCACGTTGCGAAATTTTTTGACTTGACGTGGCCATGTGGCCATTTTTTTTAGCAGTTTGTGTTTGAATGCAAGACGACGAGACTCGACGACAGGCCCTCGTCGGCCTAATCATCTGCGTCGATTCATGCTATGCTAATACGATTATCAAGGACAGATTTAACGACATTCTTTCCATTAATGGCGCTGTTCAATGCTAACTCTACGACTGCCATCGTGTTGGCCACCTTAAACTTTAAATGCATTCCTGCATTCAGGATATTCATTGCAAATTTTAAATTCCTCTTGGGTGAGCGACTATGTTTCATTTTTACGTTAATAGTTAAACTACCACCATACCTTTGTTAAAATTTTACGCAATAATTTGCCCTGCTGGTATCTTACGACAGAACAGGTCAATGGAAATACGGTATACACACAATAAAATGTAATTTTGTACAAGAAAAATACAAATCCAAGTGAATTATTAAATTATTAATCAATTTTTTTTTGCTATGGATTGATAATTGCAATTTATATTCAAATTTTATACGAGTTTCAACAAAGAATACTTCTGTTGTTTCATATATATAAGTTAGTTATGATGTTCATCAGGCAAGTACATTGATTTGTAGCAGCTTGCTTCTCCAAACTGCTGAGCTTCATCACAATGATGTTCAAAGTTGCTCGTCAACACAAAAAATAAACCTATAAAGTGGAAGTATGCGGAGCGGCGCGAAGTTCCTGTAGCATGATTATGTTGAGTAACATATGAAGATTACCGGTCTCTATTTATGCCTTGAGTTTACGAGCGTCTAGAACATTCTTTGCTGTTTGCGAGCTTTGGTCAAGTCATTGCTGCTCGTAGTCTTCAGTCAAAGTCTTTCTATTCAGAATTAGCTACATTAGAGTAATTTTTGTGGTCGTTTATATTACTTTGAGAGTTTTCAAAGTTAAAACCTATATTTTGAAAAAATTTTCTGCGTCTTTGTTGATATATTTTCACATGGCAAGCTGTTGTATTCAGACATGATTCTTGCATCTCTATTGTTGTATTCTTACCAACGAAGCTTTCTTTATTCAGACACGTAATTAGCATGCCTTGGGATTCAAGTCAAATTTATTCTCTCATTGGTGTGTTACAGTTGATGTTTGCTCGCTGAGAACAACAAACAGTGCATTGTTTTTTTCCTGGTGAAATAGAAGGCAATCGTTGTAAGTCAAGCAGCTAATGCTACATCTGCTTGTGCGACCCGTGTTATATGATAGCAGTTTTGTTCCCTCGCAAAGGCTTCCGTGACTTAATGCGTTCGGGGAAATGCTAATTGTTTCTTTATTGAGTAAATGCTTAATTAATTCTATGAACTTAAACGAGTTGAACGTTTAAAATAACCAGAATCATACTGTGCCTGTTGCAAAATAATTTGCATTAACGTTGCTTCTCATTTGCATTTCATTTCTTGAAGATGAGGAGACTTCAGACAGTTTTTGTTATGTTTTTATAACTTGTAACCCAATCAGGATTACTTTTTCCTTTAAACAATGCAATTACATAATATTGTTTTCTACCAAAAGATGTGCACTCACTTTAGTTCTTCTGAATTTGGGCAAAGTCGTCATCCATCTACGAATTCTTTACTGATGTTTTTTCGCCTCATGAATTAGATGAGGTTCTTCGTTCAAAAAAGAATATTAGAATGATTGCATGAAAACATTGAGTGTCGAATAACTCCAATAGAAGCTCCCAAAGATCTAAAATCGTGGCGACAAACAAAATCTTAAATGATTTCCACTATTCGATTAAAAAATGTGTGAAAAGATACTAGTTGACTGTATTTAACTTCTCTTTTCATTTGAATTCACTGAAAATATTATGGCAGGATGATGCAATTCGCTTTATTTCTAGTCCTTATGCCGTGTTGTTCAAATCCATATACATTTATTATTGGTGGATGACGTGGCAAGTGCATTTGTTCTCTGCTATGAATTTTTAACCCGAACAGATAAAAAATATTGGCTTTGTTACGAAAACCCACGTGCAGGCTGAGAGCTGTCGCATGACAAGGAGGAATTTCATGCGAAGTCAAATGTTGGACGCATCGACCTGTCCAAAGGTTTTCTTTGGCGGTCCATGACGATATATTAACCATCAAATTTGTTCTAGACGCGCATAATACTCCAGTACGGCTCCTTTGCTCGGCTCCGAGGCCGTTGCCGTGCCTAGAGCCTAATTTCCTGAGCACTCTGTGAATTATTCATCAGGCGAGCGCCAGGTCTCCTGACAGTAATGAAGAGAGCGGTGACTGAAATGAGCCATGCCAAATCACGGCACATAGTCTTTGTCTAATCAAAAATGACTCCTTTAATTGAGTTCTAAATTTTAATGAGAATAACTTAGAGATGACAAAGAATATTTTGAAATTGTTACAAGGAAAGAGTGTTTAGCGCATTTTCTCATTTATGGAAAAAAAGACGCTATTGTGCTCATGTCCGTCCGTCTGTCTGTCTGTCCGTCCGTGACTTCACGTTTTCGTCGGCGAGAAAATGCGCTATCTGCCACTCACTGCAGTTAGTACTGAGTTATATTTTTATAATGATGTGCCTAAGTTACACAGATCATTAATTGCGATTCAAAAGATTAGGTTTTCGATGAAAAATGAGGACCATATTTTCATAGGACTATTCACAGGTTTAAGGGGTTGACATTTGTAAATCTATTATAATAGACACGAAAAATGATTTTTTTCGGCGTATGCAAAAATTTCGGAATCATTTTATTTTCATAACAGCAAAATTTTCGTACCAATTTTTGATATGCATATATGCGAAATTTGACAAATCGGAAATAAATATGCGAGAATCGAATAAATTATCATGTCAGATATTACAGTTGCAGAAAAAACGCTATTTTTTGATAGAAAGTAATGACCAAGAATCACAAACTGGAACGTTCACCAGGACGTTACTTAGCATCATATTTGACTCAGATATTTTATCGAGTTTGCCGGCGTCGAATTACGATATTAATATTAGTACTAACTAGTATTACTTCCGAATATTACTTAATATCTAATTTTAATACTAACTAGTATTACTATTTTTATGAATTCAATTATAATTTAATGGGCAGAAAATGTCCAGATTTACTTTCGAAAATCGTTAAAATAAAAAATATGAATGCATTTAAAAGCTCATTTTTTAAATTTTCAATGCTTATGGGGAACGACGTATTTCCTGCAAGAGTATTCAAATCGCTCAATTTCTTTTGTTTTGGATCGCCTTCTGAGCCTTCGTTTTGCTTAGAAGAAGGAATTAAAACTGTTTTGCAATGGAACAGGTCCATTTTCATGCACATGCGGAAAATCTGTCATGAAATTATACTCAACATTTGCTCTCGTACACTCTGAATATTCAGAGTGCAACGAGTTTCACTGTTTGACGGATTTTAGTCATGGAACCCAATAATTTCAGACAATGGAAGCCAAATGCCAACAATTTGTAGACATTTGAAGAACCTGACAGTGAGGCTATGCCATCCGCTAACGATCTGTGCTGTTCAAGTCTGTTTTTACTTGAAATCGATTGTTAAATCCAAGGATACTTTTCTCATGTCACGTTCTTTTCGCGTCTTTTCAGGCCCGGAAACTCGAGAGCTTGGCTCCCGCCGCCGACCGATAACGAGGGAAAGCGACCTTGTTTTTTGCTCTGAAGTCACTGCTTCAGGCTCAGTGTCTTCACTGCTTCAGGCTCGGTGGCTTCACTGCTTTAGGCTCAACAGCATCACTGCTTTAGGCTCAGCGGCTTCACTGCTTCAAGCTCGGTGGCTTCACTGCTTCAGGCTCGGTGGCTTCACCGCTTCAGGCTCGGTGGCTTCACTGCTTCAAGCTCGGTGGCATGTCTGCACTGGCGTCTGCTGCACAGGTGAGCTGTGCTGTTGTCTGCACTGGCGTCTGCTGCACAGGTAAGCTGTGCCTGTGATTGCCGTCTGTACAGTCGGTAGAGAATTAGAGTTTCTCTGTGCTTGCTTCTTCTCGCATTTTTCCGTTCAGCCTCTGAAACTATTGATTAAATGCAATACTGATAGTTATCAATTCATTGAGCATTGAGGTAGACTATTAATAGTGAAGAGTATGCTTTTACTTAGAAACTATGTTTTCCTAATGCTTACATAATGCGGTATATGATAAAGCTTCTACCTAATGCGTAAAGATAATGTGAAAACTTTTTCCGTCTCTTCCACAGTTATTTTTCTACCTCCTGGCGCCTCGCGTGTATCGGCAGTTCCAGCTCTCCGGAATGCGCTAATCATAGAATTTATCCAGTAAACTCCACGCCCAGTAACGGATGCACGCACAAATTTAATCCACCGTCGAACGGATGTTCATCCATGGTGAATCCCGCGTGCATCTCCAATAACATGGCAGGGAACTGCGTGTGTTGTGAGTCCAGCAGCAACTGCTTACATTCTCCGGCCTCTAACTGCACCTCGGCCCTGCAACAGCTGTCTAAGCGTCTGCTGTCGCTGCTTCTGACGGTACGTTTCTCAATTCATTATCGTATTAAAATGAATATAATTATGAGGGAAATCTGTATAATAATTTCCTATATTAGCAGGTAAGTAACTACTTATACATGATGCTATTCTAATAACAAATTTGTTTGTTGGCCATTGTTAAGTATGCAAGTATGTCAGCAAACTCACCTTTATTTACTTGGCTGATGATCGAAAACTTCTTCCTAAATGATAATAATATGTTAATTCTAAATTTGAGTCGATAAATAAAAAAGTAAGATTCTTCAGATGATTGTAATAATCCGTCGTATGTAGGGCATTCGATTTAATATATGTTCTTTTTAAAGCCATATAGGAGCATTCCTATATAACTGACCACATACATAAAATGTATCCAAGTATCAAATATGCAGTTTTTCATGCGTCAAAAAGTTAACAAAATGTATTTAAATATAAATTACCCATGCCGGTTGCTCAATTTATTATTCATTTAAGAATGATTTTGATCGAAGTCAAGTGTTTGATAGTATATATCCTCGGTGTAGAGAGTAGCTCTGTTTGTAGTTTTTCGTGCAAGTTAATCGGATGTCATGCAATAAAAAATTGCAATATTTCCTCAGAACATTAATTGAGCTCTGGATTATTTTATCCGCTTGTCAGAATGGTTTTCTGCATGAATAATATGAGAGTATCATTAATATGAATATTTTAAATAAAAAAAGCATATGCTTATTAAAGCACTTTACTTGATTGCATTTGACTTACATCAAACCGCTGGTTTTTTATTATAATCAGTAATGAGATGAAAATTTTAATTTTAATGATTATTGTGGACTAATTTATATTTTATTGGATCCGCTTAAACTATGTTTCACCTTTATAAGATTTCTTTGTATTTATATGATTATAGAATTTTTCTATTTACTTATAATGAAGGATTTATTCATGCTAGATATGTCGACCTTCTGTGCACGCTGCAGGGCTTGCGTGAGATCGAATGTAAACAAGCAAATACTGTACCTATTTTTCATGCCAATAAGACTTGGATCAAACATAGAGACGCTCAAGGGGACTTACTTATTGATAAAACAGGCGCGGCTGTACTTATTGATAAAACAGGCGCGGCTGTGCTTATTGATAAAACAGGCGCGGCTGTACTTATTGATAANGGTGCTTACTGTGTTATACAGCTGTGTCAATTACTGCGCTTACTGTGTTATACAGCTGTGTTATGTACGGTGCTTACTGTGTTATACAGCTGTGTCAATTACTGCGCTTACTGTGTTATACAGCTGTGTTATGTACGGTGCTTACTGTGTTATACAGCTGTGTCAATTACTGCGCTTACTGTGTTATACAGCTGTGTTATGTACGGTGCTTACTGTGTTATACAGCTGTGTCAATTACTGCGCTTACTGTGTTATACAGCTGTGTTATGTACGGTGCTTACTGTGTTATACAGCTGTGTCAATTACTGCGCTTACTGTGTTATACAGCTGTGTTATGTACGGTGCTTACTGTGTTATACAGCTGTGTCAATTACTGCGCTTACTGTGTTATACAGCTGTGTTATGTACGGTGCTTACTGTGTTATACAGCTGTGTCAATTACTGCGCTTACTGTGTTATACAGCTGTGTTATGTACGGTGCTTACTGTGTTATACAGCTGTGTCAATTACTGCGCTTACTGTGTTATACAGCTGTGTTATGTACGGTGCTTACTGTGTTATACAGCTGTGTCAATTACTGCGCTTACTGTGTTATACAGCTGTGTTATGTACGGTGCTTACTGTGTTATACAGCTGTGTCAATTACTGCGCTTACTGTGTTATACAGCTGTGTTATGTACGGTGCTTACTGTGTTATACAGCTGTGTCAATTACTGCGCTTACTGTGTTATACAGCTGTGTTATGTACGGTGCTTACTGTGTTATACAGCTGTGTCAATTACTGCGCTTACTGTGTTATACAGCTGTGTTATGTACGGTGCTTACTGTGTTATACAGCTGTGTCAATTACTGCGCTTACTGTGTTATACAGCTGTGTTATGTACGGTGCTTACTGTGTTATACAGCTGTGTCAATTACTGCGCTTACTGTGTTATACAGCTGTGTTATGTACGGTGCTTACTGTGTTATACAGCTGTGTCAATTACTGCGCTTACTGTGTTATACAGCTGTGTTATGTACGGTGCTTACTGTGTTATACAGCTGTGTCAATTACTGCGCTTACTGTGTTATACAGCTGTGTTATGTACGGTGCTTACTGTGTTATACAGCTGTGTCAATTACGGTGCATACTGTGTTATACAGCTGTGTTATGTACGGTGCCTACTGTGTTATACAGCTGTGTCAATTAAGGTGCTTACTGTGTTATACAGCTGTGTTATGTAAGGTGCTTTACTCTACTACGCAGCTGTATTAGGTACGTTGCTTATTGTAGTACACAGCTGTGTTAGGTACGGTACCTACTGTACTAAAATGCTGTGTTAAGTATGGTGCGTGCTTTACTACACAGCTGTGATAGGTACGGTGCATATTCCATTACACAGCCCCGTTTTTTACGGTATATACATTACATTGCTCCGTCTCTTACGTGCCCGTAGCAATGCGCGGCTTCCATACATCAGGTCGATGAAGTTCTAATATTCAGTAAGGCTTTGTACTTGAACTTTTTGTTCGCTGTTTTGGCAGGGAATTCTTGAATATTTGCTCAGCAAGGCTTATCCAGAACGCAGGTGCATGATTGAATGACGTAAAAGAGATCAATGAGCCCAGAATGTCAGATTTTTAAGGGTAAAATTTTCAGAGTAACTAAATGAAAGCAGAAGCAAAATTTATTTGTATTTTATACAAAATTCAGAGATATCTGAGCCTTGAAATCTAAACCAGTGCATAATTCACTTAACATTATTCAATATTAATTAACGTTAATTTTTGGCCATCGTGTATTCAAATAATTATCTAAAGATTATATGATGATAGGCGAGACGTCAACCACACTTTAAATGATTTTGTAAATAAATTAATAAGAAAATACTTAGTATTTAACAATCTGAAGACTTCTTACTTATGAGAGTTAAATTGGTAAACTTAGTATTGAAGAAAAGTCAGTTCCCTTTACTTCTGATGTGTTATTTAAAATTTTGTTCGTCTAGGAACTGTGAGAGAATCGAGTTATGACATTACCAGTCTTTTCTCAACAGCATAATTACTTGGTCGCTTTCATAGTTAATTTTCATGAATGCCTGACTTTGTTCATTCTCCTTGCCGGAACTTCTGCTGAATAATTTTGTTCGTTTTAGATTGAATATTTTTTCTAAAGTTTACATAAGTTTGAAAATAATTGTTATAGACTGGCTGCCTACGTTCTGAAATTTTACAATTTTATTGAATAAATGATAAGAAATGAAGATGAATTTTACTGAATGAAATTTCGTAGTACAGTACAGATATTAAGAGAATAGATCATCGGTGTACTGATAACGATAAGCGACCAGATATTTATGAAGTTATTTGCTTATTATGAATTACTCTATGAACTGTTACCTAGCTAGCGTATCAGCATCAAGGTGATGAAAAAAAACTTGAGATACGACAGGAAATGGATTTACAATATCGAAATGAGGCTTGAGTGTCACGCATATGGATATATATGATGCAACATAATTAAGAACTTATCCAGGAGTAATATTCTTTGTGGGTTTAGAGAAATAGGTTTTGCTGTCATGACTCCAGAACCCACTCAATAATAAGGTAGTGTTCCATCAGAGTAAAATGTCCTACTGATGGCTTACGAAATAAAAATATTGGGCAGACTTTTTATGTATAATTTCTTGACATGCAAAGATCGAAGGAACATAAAACATTAAATTATTAATAGTACACACTCGATGATGAACGTCAATCTACAGTGAGACTATGATGAAAAATAAGCAGTAAAAGTCAGGTAGTATTGGAAGCAAGTAATTCAGATCATGTCGCTCAGCCAATAATAATTTTTGTAGGAATTGGGCCTGAATATCCCAGATGAATAAGTGCCGTTACCCACAGCTGCCATTATCACGATGGACCCAGTATTGAGCAACAAAAGTCGCAGGAAATACCATCCTCTTGATACTCGCCTTAATTATACACGGAATCAAGGAAGATGTGCTACGGCTGCTTGTAAAAAGATATAACCAAGTGACTTGACATTGTTTCACATACAGGAATTACACCTGCAGGTAATTTAGATTTGTCTTGAATGCAAATTTGTACAATGAAGATTTTGTGGCAAGTCGCCTTTTTTCATCAATGCAGTGATTATCGGACGGTGATATTCATCGCATCGGCACCAACGCTGGTCGTGCAATAAATGACCGATGATAAGATCACGGAAGCTATACCGCGGAACTGTGCTCTAATTTAGTCACTACATTAGTCACTACATTAGTCATAGACAATGAATACTGGAGTCTCCGGTCACGGAAGCCTCAAGAGAAACTCGTGTTTGCCTCATTTCTTCTTAGCTACATTTTAAGAAAGGTCATGGAACCTAATTTCTCCATGCTGGTCGCCAGTTTTATTGTGTCAAATAATTATTTTTGCAACATAATTTTGAAATGAGTTGATTTGATGACATTCATTTGTCATATTGTTGAATCATGTTGATATGCCACGAACATTTTCACTTAATTTTACACAACGGGGAAATCTTGCTCTCAGGAATGACCGATTAGTCTTGAAATTCCAACAAAGTGAAATTCAATAAAACAGTTTAAAGGTGAGCGACGACCATAAAATACCGTGGCACGTTCTGTGCAACGATACGTAGCGTATCATCGCAGAAACGTGTTGGAAGAAGACATATTGCGTTTTTTCTGAGACAATCTACTCGTAATAATCAGTTCGAAAATTACTATAATTTTTCATCAAAATAGAATTGAGATTATATATGATATAATATGATTTTCATAATTTTAAAAAGGCATATTTTGAACTAAAACATTTAGTGTCTTTTGAGATGCATTCAATTTTGCTGGACAATTTATGACAAATTTATGACGCAGAAGAAATATACCTGAAATTTATCGGAAGAAATAGACCGTGATCATTCGACGCAGAGTTATGAGGAAGAGTGATTTACTAATTATGACTGCGTTACCCATGGTAATAGCTGGTATTTGAGTACGGTATTCCTTCAGTGAATTAGTTTGAATCTGGCCATTAGCAATCATATCTCACTTCTCTACACAAGCGATTATTCCTTGTTTCGGCAAACGGATATCGTTGTCATGACTTATTTAGATTGTATTTCAAATTCTAATTAAAATAGTTTGCAAAGTTTTTTAAAACACACGTATATGTTTTGGTCCAAGAATACTAGATTAGGAATATCCGAATTCCGGCTTGAGGTTATAACTTGTCAATAGAATCACAATCACGTACATATATAGAGTTCATTGCATAACGTTCATTAATTAACGTTCATCGAAAAGTAATGCTGCTGATCTTTTTTATGAAAGTCAAAGCAAATCGTGTAAGCGATAATTCTGTGTTTATTTAAAGACTGGATTACGGTACTGTTTAGAATTTCGAATTCAGGATTAACCTCATTGATTTTTACGAAACTATGTGATATTTTTTTTAGAAATAGTGAAGTCGATCAAAAACACGAAGCAACCTTATTTCACGATTGAAATAACATGCTTTTCTCAACACCACAAATAATATTTATTTTTCAGATTTGTCGCTATGTTTCTCCTACAATCGTATATTAGATTTTGTGAACGTTTTTCAATTTTTGTTTAAAAATTTGACTGCTGATTTTGCAAGGGAACAACACTATCAAAAATAATCCTTGAAAAACAAAAATAATTATCCTTGGTACAGCGATCGACGTCCGTCCGTCGCATGGCGATTCGCCGCCCAGCGATGAGTTCTTCGCTGATTATAATTTTTTATGGTCAATTATCTCGCCGCTATTAATAATTTCCATCCAAGTTAAGCGGACCTCAATTATGAATTCCAATTCATAATTTTATTCACTCTACGAATGTATCGAACTGAACGAGATTCGTTGTACAAAACCAAATTTGGTGCGAAAATTGAAAACTTGGAAGAACGAAGGCTGAGGGGGCCATCGCAGCCAAAGGGCATTAGCTCTAATTTTCCGATTTTCGCTCCGCACTAAAGGTTCGCGAATGCTTGACTGAATAATAATGAATACTAATGGTTGGCAAGTATGAATAATAACATGTTCAATTGTAACACCTGACGCCAGTGGAAACTGCCACGTGCAGGTCGTTTCGAAGTTCCCAGTCAAACTCAGCTCCACTAATTTATTTTTGCCCGATTTAAAATTTCACAAAATTATGAAATTGCTTACACTCAAGAATCGAACATGTATTCTTATTTTTTATTGGCGAAATTACCGGCTTGGCTATGACACTTTGCTGATATTTTGATCAGGTGACCGGCATCGTGGGGCGAGCAGATCTGCTGGCCGCGCTGTGCCTGCTGCTGGCCCTGCTGGCTTATGATGAGTATGTTTCATATTGCCTTCTTAATTTTATTTATGTTGCCGACCCAGTTTTATGTTTGTTTTATGTCTTTTAGTTTTATGTGTTTGAGGCCGACCCAGTTTTATGTTTCAGTTGTTAGATTGAACAATGTATTGTATTTACCTAATAGTGCAATTATTCCAACTAAACAAAATATGCGTTATGTACGAGTGCGCCAGTATAGCAATAATATTTCCACTAGCGCGTGGCAATTTTTTCCTTCCATTAACTCCATTTCTCTACTGATTATTTATCGATCTAACGATCGATTATTTATCGATATTTGACGATCTAACAACCGTCACTACTGATATGTTTTGTCACGGCCATCATAATCCCTCATTAAAAGACCACCGCGTCTCCTGCCCCGCACCTACGCATCCTCTTTAAGCGAAGCAAGCGTAGCCGCCAACACCGTCTGCGTTCATCACAATATCCACTCAGAGAAATTAGTAAAATTTGTCCAAATGGCCACGCACTTCTTCCCTCTGTGTGGGTCAGACTGAGATAGTTTGACCCGGTAAAAAGGCGTGTCTGTGCTAAGTCTGCTCGCTGCACGTGTGGCGGGTGAGAACGTGTGTCAATATTTGGAAAGTATACATCCATTTTTTTTCCGTGTTACTGGACAACGATGCGCAGCTACAGCGTATTTTTTTATAATGAGTACCTGATTCACTGTAATAGGTTGGTAAATAAGATTTAAATTAATTGTAATTCACAATTAATTTATTTATTACATTAGGCCGATTTTTACATCGAATTGAACTTTTGTAATATGTTTTTAGTCGCAAGTAATTCAGTTATTGCAAAAGGTCGATTTCCACAAGAAGTAAGTGTAGTTGAAATTAAAAAAGAAGTCAGTGCAAGAAAACATTACTAATTGTCCCAGTGGAAATTAAATCCAATGTTCGCCAATGTTGCTTGTGGCAATATGAAAATTCCGAAGTCGTTAATTTTCTTTATTGCCGTAATTCCAAAAAGTTAATAATGAATGAAAAAAACTTATTCAAGTATTTCCGCACTACGTACATCTGGTGGTGAAGCAATTTTTTCGCATATGTATAATTTATATTTTTAACAGTTAATCTCAGATGATAATTTTCTTTAACTCGGTAATTCCTAAAAGAATATTCAAAATTTGAAGTTAAATAAAGAATTGAGTTGCAATTTTAATTCTTGTATCGGACTGCTCGAGAAAGACTATAGAAATTGATACTCGAACGCCAGTCATTTACTTGTCTCAAATGCCTTATTCGGTATCACAGTGATGACTTCGCCCGAGTAAAGATTCACAATTTAATGTAAATTTGTTATTTATCGCAGGGGTCTGCGGGGTCGGTCTGAGGGGTCTGTGTGGCGAGGGCTACGGGGGGCTGGGGTCTGGTCCCTCCTGGGGACTTTGTGCAAAGAGCACGCGCTTACTGCCCTGCTGGTCTGCTGTGCCTGGGACTGCTGTCTGCACTGGCGTCTGCTGTACAGGTGAGCTGTGCTGCTGTCTGCACTGGCGTCTGCTGTACAGGTGAGCTGTGCTGCTGTCTGCACTGGCGTCTGCTGTACAGGTGAGCTGTGCTGTACCTGTCTCTTATACACATCTAGATGTGTATAAGAGACAGGCTGTACTTATTGATAAAACAGGCGCGGCTATGCTTATTGATAAAACAGGCGCGGCTGTACTTATTGATAAAAAAGGCGCGGCTGTACTTATTGATAAAAAAGGTGGGTGTCGAGTGAGAAAGCGAAGAGTTAAATTGCCTGTACAAGATTGCGCATATCATCTCGGGCCATAGAGAGAGTTAGGCTAGATAAAAATTCTGCTATAATATGCTGATTAGACGAGAAACTTGGAAGTCAGGTGAAATGATTTATTCTTGATTGCGAGGTTATGCGTTGAATCGGAATTATTTTACCCGGACAGATTTTTTTTGCTTGACCTTTAGGTCATAAATCTTAAAACTTTGGAGAATTTGCTCGCCGTAGATTGCACACAGCATAATTTTGCGCTGTTCCTTAACTGTTGAATTAACTCGTTCTGTAAATAGTTTAGTTAGCAGTTCATCTATTATTTACAAAATTTTCAATAATAGACTCCAAACGTCGCTGCATAGTCCGTTTTCTTCGCTGCAAATATAGTCGCAAAGGTCGCTACATATAGTTTGAATGCTTTGCTACTTATAAAGTCTGCAAACATTACTACATAGTCTGTATGCTTTGCTACATATATATAGTCTGCAAACGTCGCTACATAGTTTACATGCTTCGCTACATAGTCCGCATATGTCGCTGCATAGTCTGTATGCTTCGCTACAGTTATAATCTGTAAACGTCGTTACATAGCTTTCATGCTTCGCTGAATAGGCTGCATGCTTCGCTACACAGTCCGTAGGCGTCGCTACACGGTCTGCAAATATCGCAGCATGGTCTACAAACGTCCTACGCTATTTCTTTATCAGCCGTTTCGTGTGTGTTATTATGTCGAGCGCGAAATTTACTGCTCCGAGTTTTTCTTTTATATGGCGTCGTAACTTGAGAATTTTTCACAGAGAAATCTCGTGCAGGAACATTCGAGTATTTCACAGCGCGGCTTCATCTCATTCTGTTTAAATATAGAGCTTACAACACGTAAAACGAAGGTCTTAATTATCAACCGTAGTATTATTTCATCTGTGAACGGAGCCCTCTGCCTGTAATATGTATATTTTTTTATCTACATATTACTTTTCATGGTCGTTAAAAGCCCCCTTGTTTGCTCCAAAGGAAAGGTAGGTTTGTCCTTAGGTAGGAAAAGCTCTGGTGTCCTCTCGCAGGTCAAAATGACAAATTGCAGATAGTTTATATTTTGTTAAGTTGTGTTGAAATTGGCTTGATGAAATATCTTCAAATACTGAGAATTAGCTCGTCTGTGAAAGGCAAATTGTTGAGTAAGAAGTCTCAAGTTTAGCGGGTAAAATTAACATAGATTTCGGCGCGTTTCATGAAAGTTGATTTAACCGTAGGTTGATTTAAATCGTAGGTTCGGTTTAGGTTTGATCGTAGATTAAATTGTAGGTTGATTTATCCACCTAAACAACGTTTAACCGTTCGGGCTAAGTTCACTATTTGAAGCAACGCTTCACGCTTGCGTTGAAAATACTATTATGTGTTGGTTGACGTTAACGCAGACGCTGCACCTGGTGTGGGTTGACGTTAACGCGGACGTCTGATGTAGGTTTTGTGACGTGGGTTGACATTTTGCAGAATTTTGATGTGGGTTTTCTGGCGTGGGTTGATATCAACGCCGTCGTCTGGTGTGGGTTGACATTAAAACAGACGTCTGTCGTGGCTTGCCGTTAACGTTGCGTCCTGCGTCGCAGGCTGGGGTGCTGCTGGGGCTGCGACTGTGGATGCTGCGGGGAAGCTCGCCCGCCTTCAGCGACCAGGACAACCCAGCCTCCTTCAGCCCCCACCTCATCACCAGGTGAGGCATCGATAGGTTATGCCTCATGTTAGTGCCTCATGTTTTTGCCTCACCATGTCATGCCCCCATTGTCTCTCCTCACCAGGGGATGCATCATGTTCATGCCCCACCAGGTCATGATTTATGCTCATTTTTCATCATGTATTGGGCATCATGAGATTGTGATCCGAGCAAAATTTGTCCCTTAATGAACTATTTGACTATTTTCCCCTAGAGTTCTGGACCTTTTGCTACCTACCCTCTGAACTCTTTTACTGTTTTCCCCAGGGTGCTGACATTTTGTTACCTGCCAGCCCTGAACTCTTTTCCCTCAGAGTGCTGACATTTTGCTACCTGCCAGCTCTGACTTGTTTCACTATTTTCCCCCAGGGTGCTAACGTTTTGCTACCTGCCAGCCCTGAATTTCTGGCTGCTGCTGTGCCCATGGCAGTTAAGTCATGACTGGCAGATGGGCACCGTGCCACTCGTGAACTCCTTTGCCGACTCAAGGAACCTCGCGTCCTTGGTTTTCTATACCACCTTAGCGATGATAGTCTGCAGAGCTCTACAGACCTCGGTGAGCATTAATTTTGTGAATTTCGGTGAATTTATTTTAATCAGACCTACAGACCATTGATTTTTTTAGTTCAACAGCATTAATTTTTTTATTCACTACATACATTCTGTTGAGTGAAAATTTGTTGAACCTGCATAGACTTAAAAGTCCTTTAAGCTACAATAGCATCGTTAGTCCCATGGGACTTGAAAATCGCTGAGCAGAAACTGAGACACATTATCTGTAACTGAAGTTAACAAATGCAAAGAACATTATTTCATTTTAATTTTCATTACTCACAATAGAATGATTAATGAGCATGTCAAACATGTTATTGATGGAATTAATTATTGTTGGGCGCACAGGCGCTCACGACGGTCATACAAAGTGAACAAAGATGAATCATTATTCAAATGTCAAGAAAAACGGTGAACATCGATGAACTTTAAGCTGCCTTCTCAATCTATCAATTCCAGTCAAGCGTTTCAATTTACACTAATCGTCATTTATACCTAATTTCTAAACCCTGAAAGAAAATATTTGTCTGATGGAAGGCTGATTTAAATATTATATTTGATTATCTTACATTTACTAAACTGTATCCTTTCCCTGTGCAATCAACATACGAAGAAGGTAGGCGGGTATGACGGCGGGCGGGTAACCCGCATGGGTCTGGCGCTGCTGGTGCTGCCCTTCTTGCCCGCAACCAATATCTTCTTCAGGGTGGGCTTTGTCCTTGCTGAGAGGATCCTATACATACCCAGGTGAGGTACTTTATTATCATAAGCCCCTTTACATAGAAATGTAAGTATACATTAATTATATTATCCCTCCACAGCCCAAAGTGAGTAATTTATTAATTTAATGTCAGTTGTCCTTCTCCGGGTGAATCCTAAATTGATAGAATTTCTCTTGTACATCCCTCGGTGGTTCTTATGATTGAGAGCCCTTCTTATCTCACAGGTGAGGATTGAATTAATTAAAGTACATTCTGCAGTCTCAGTTCTCAAAAATATTTTAAATAAAAATACATTATGCCTCTGTAGATTTAAGTAATATTTAAACATATTCCTAAGTATAGGAAAATATCGCTAAAAGTAACCACCACAATCCCTGGTGCATCTAAGCCACCGGATTGAACCTCGGCACAAAAAACATTCTAGGTCGATGGATCGCACCCTGGAATTCCATTTAGATCATCCCTTTATCTGGCGATGCTTTTAGAGGAGCCCCCGAGAAAAACAAAATCCTTCCATTGATCTTCAGGTGAAATCTTGGAGGCGTGTTTGAGAGCAGCTCGGTCGCCATCTCAGCGTGAACTATGACAAATGTTTCAGTAATGTGTTTTGAATCAACGAACTTTGGGATTTAAATTACTGAGGCTTATTAGTAGTAATAATTCACATTGGGTTTGCTAAGAATATATATAAAACTCATATACAAATAAAATAATTTCTAAAAATTCGGTTTGAAGGCAAATATTTAACGATCATGTCAAAAGTTATGAAACCGTAGAGTTCTTTGAAAGAACGTGAGACCTTCTGAACTTCTGCTCTCGTGCGCTTTTATTAAATAAATCCTGGGCTGAAGAAAAACACGAGTTTGATGTATATTCGTACAATAAATATATTTAAATTGGTTGCTCACTGAAGCGGTAATAGAGATACATGTTAAAGTGATATATTCAATGTTATGCTTTTCCTGCCTCTCAATGACATGTTTGTATTATCATATAAGAAAAATTATATCGTGAATTGATTTTAGATCTAATTTCGTGCCGGTGACCTGATATGAGACAATATTATATCTATAAAGTTGCGAGAGTGGCCAGAAAAATTATCTGCAGACGTACTGATCAGGGTTGCCAGACGTTTTTTACCGGACATATTCCGCGATTTAGTTTTTTGTCAATTGCGTTGGCCGGCAAAAATTTAGGATAGGGGTACTTCCTACTTCCTCATTAAATTGAAAAAAAAAGAAAGGGAATTTTACACCGGAACCTACTAGGGGTACTTCGTAATTAAATTGAAAAAAATAAAGGGAATTTTACAACGGAACCTACAAATATGCTTTAATATATATTGAGTTATAGGCCTTATTGGCCTTTTTTGTTCTCGGACTTGGCAGTTTTTCATGCCATGTGGCAACCCTGGTATAGATAACATTCCGATTACCTGAAAATTAAAAGAATAATATTTAAGTTAAAGTGTTAATACACTGCAGAGTGATTTGGCGAGATTCAGCGAGCGGCTCGATATAATTGCTGACCATTTATCCTATGAGATAACGCCAGCACACTTGTAGAATAATAGCAGTAGAGATGCTGGAAATTAACTAAAGTATGCGTTAAATTTGCAACTGATGGGCGGTGCGAACTCAATGCTGGGAAAGAAGTGCTGACATATGATGAGCAGCCGGCGACAGCCATGGCGCTGCGTAATGTCGTCTAAATTATTGTTCCCTGAACTGTCGTACAGCCTGACGAGCGGCCCACTGCTCAGTGCCCATGCTCATTTCTCCCATCATGCTCAGCGCCGATGCTTAATTCTTCCCTCATGCTCAGCGCTGATGCCTAATTCTTCCTTCTTGCACAGCGCCGATGCCCATTATTCTTCCCCCATGCTCGGCGCCGATGCTCATTTCTTCCTCCACGTTCAGCAACTTTGCTGATTTCTTCCATAATGCGCAGCGTCGATGCAGCTATTTAGCTATTTACGAGCAGCTATTTACTCAGCACTCACTCTTTTTATTTATTTGTGCCTATAACCATAGTTGGTGTCTATTGCTTATTGTTATACTTCCTGCTCAGTGTTTGGGTGCCTTCATAACTAGGCAATCGGTGCTGGGTGTCGACACTTGAGCTCTTCTTTTAGACCCAAACTTCTCACCTGTGCCTTAATCCACTCATCCCCTTACTCACCTGTGCCTCATTCTACTCATCTACCCTGCTGAAGTGAACTTTATTCTGCTCAGCTCCCCTGCTTCTTCATCATTTCAGGCTCCTCTGTGCCAGGCTGCTAAAATAATACAAATAGTGGCAAGGTGGCTGCGATAAATGAGAAATGTTCTTAAGATTTATTGCCTCAGCAAAAAACCTTTGTTGGGAACTGGCTTTTCTTTAAGTAAGCGTCGTTTGTATGTCGGCGGCTTGTGGCATGGCTATTGCGTGTTTGGTTTCATACATTTTTGTGTAAAGGAAACTAAGAGTGAAAGTTTACATTTCTGGATCTATTAGAAATGCACTGAATAATGGTTAGATATTAAGAAATGGCCGAAATACTATATTTGAGTTCCCGTGATAATGTAGTATCACTGATCCGATGAACTATGTAAAATAGCACTATGAGTTTCAATCTAAATTCAGAATAAGTTCGATTCATTACAGACTTGGACAAATTTCTCGTTGTATTCTCTAAATCGTAATTTTTTCATTTCCATTTCTTATTTTTCGAGCTTACTTATCGCTAGCTATCGAGCTTACTAATTTTGAATTATTATTCATTCACCGAAGATGATGAGAAAACTTCATTAAAAGTAATACTGCTCTTAATATTATAATATTTTTTAAAAATTAGTGATGTGCGTTTGCTGTGAATATCAATGGACGTCTAACAGACTATACAAAATAATTCAGGGAAAACTGATTTCACTCAATATTTGATGCCTCACATAGAAATATTTTCCAGGTTGCAATAATGTTATTCCTACCTGAATAATTTGTAGAAATTAGGATCAATACCGTAAAAAAACAATCGGGTCCGATCATTGGGGGTTAAAAGGTCGCCATTTCCATACGTAGTTTGAACCCTTACCTATTCAATGATTTATTGCATGGGATAATGAAATTCACTCAATTAATCAGCCTCTCCATTCACGGGTCGATAGCCGGAATATGTAATCAAAGACAGCCTTGGTATTTGTTGATGAAGCGTCTGAACATAAAACTTAAGGCGATAACCCATCCTGACAGCTTTTTCCACGGATGCATCAATATTTGGACAATGACCGTCTCCTTTTTCTGAGTGAACTGCTCGTCTATTGATAGTGTGCTTCAGAAATGCAGTCCTAAATGTTTTGTACACATCTGCAAAACATGCGACATCGGGTGATGTTTGAGAGAAATCATTTCTTCTAACAAATTAAGCACATTTTTGGTCATTCATGTTATAGATATTCACGATGCATAATTTCGAAAATATTCGAAGGCATGAGTTTTTCATGTGTCACTTGGGTTTTTTCGTTGCAGAAATCGGTAGCAGCTGATGTGGTGATCTACAAATGGGTTAAATTAAATGTAATTAAACAACCCAGTTCTGTGCAGTCGCCGTACTCCATCGTACGCCATCGTGACGATGGTCGAAGATAAAGATAAAAAGTTTCGAAGAACTTCTAAACTTTGGATACTAATTTTTAGATTACTATAACATACTACGCATCTCTTTCTTTCTTGATTGCTAACCACGCACCTGCCTTTAGATGCGCTGTTGATTTTTCAACAGCGCTTCCACGCCTCAAATTAAAAAGCGTCTGTTGAGTGGAAAGACGCCACGAAGATGAGATAGTATCGCGAGGTGGCAGGCCGATAGCTCGTATCGGGGGTGGCAGGCCAATGACTCGTATCGCGAAGTGGCAGGCCGATGACTCGTATCGCGGGGTGGCAGGCCGATGACTCGTATCGCTATACACATCTAGATGTGTATAAGAGACAGGGCTTCACTGCTTCAAGCTCGGTGGCTTCACTGCTTCAGGCTCGGTAGCTTCACCGCTTCAGGCTCGGTGGCTTCACTGCTTCAAGCTCGGTGGCTTCACTGCTTCAGGCTCGGTGGCTTCACTGCTTTAGGCTCAACAGCATCACTGCTTTAGGCTCAGTGGCTTCACTGCTTCAGGGTCGGTTGCTTCATTGCTGCAAGGCTTGGTGGTTTCAGGTTTAGCGGCTTCATTGCTTCAGGCTTAGTGACTTTACTGCTTCAGGCTCAACAGCATCACTGCTTCAGGCTCAGCGACTTCTCCGCTTCAGGCTCAGCGGCTTCACTGCTTTTGGTTCAGCGGCTTCACTGCTTCAGGTCCAGCGGCTTCACTGCTTCGGACTCGTAGGCTTCACTGCAGCAGGCTCAGCGGCTTCACGGCTACCGGCTCAGCGGCTCGTTTACATGAAACGCTGATCCACTCAACTCATTTCCACGCAGCATGATTGACATGAAAGTCATTAAAAAAGTCATCGATTCCATTCATGACCGCCAGCACTACCTCATGGCAACAAGCATTCTGTCAGGAAATAAAAACAAGATTTTAATGGCAAAGTTTTCACAAGCAAAGCTGGTCGACGCGGTCGGGTTCTGAACGCGGCTCCACAAAACAAGCAATTGACCGAAAATTTCGGCGCGATGTTGTATGAGCGATGTTTTCAGAGACGCAAATTATAATTTGTCGGCGAGGATAAGTACGTGAAAATAGATTCGTGTCATGACAGTTGAAACTCCTAACCTGTAAAGCTGTTAGAGACTATTATGAAAAAAGCTTGACTTTTACCTTAAAATTCAAACTGTCTATAGTCATTATGGTTTCTACTTTTAATGCTCTGATAGATAAAATGTAAATATAATATGATCCAGAATTTTCAAACTTTGTTATATTTAATGCATTGGAAAATGTTAAAATCATCAACTAATTTTGCTTCTAATATTGTTCGTTTTTTTTTGCTGAAGCGAAGATTAAATCATGACAGCATGCACAAGACTGTTGAACAGATTGCGTGAATGGAATTCAACTGTTTTGATTGATGAATTTAATAATAGTAAACAAATTCAATAAAGGGAACCTAATTCTGTGTCAGATCATATGTTTTAGCCTTGATGCGAGTTACTTTAAGTGAAGAATCATTGAAAATACTCGATTTGAAAGTGAACATTTCTCTAGGTTTAATAATTGTTGTCATGTTTTTAACTCATTATTGACTTCACTGTATTATTCCTCTTTACTTTATTTGCCAAATGGGACTAGATATAAAATGAATCAATTAGTTGATGATTCTTACTTTTTATATGAAATTTCTCAGAATTTATATCTGATTAACGCTTCATTTTGCAATTAAAAGTATCTAATCTGAATGCAGCAAATTTTGGAATTATGATCAATTTAAACTAATTACCGAACGACGCTAAATTTTTCATATTTTCGTAATATCAGACATATTGCGCTTGGAATATCGGACATACTACGGTAATTACTAAACGACATGTGCAACACTGCAACGTCCTCTAAACCATGTGTGCTTTTAAAAATGCGATTCTTTAGATTTTCCATATATTTCTTGGAGCTTCCTTACTCACTTTTAACATACAAATATAAAAATTAAAAAGTTACTCATGGCGCGTAACGCGTTGAACCTAATAAATATTGAATGTCAGGTACTGCTTTGCTTTATTTGTAAACGTAATTTTCAATCACCTCTACTTTGTATCATTAAACTTTCATCTTAACAGAGTTAGATCCATTTCTTGGTGACGTCAAACTTTTTCAAAACCTTCAGAAAATCGAGCTGTGCGTAGCTGAATTGCTTCCATATGAAACTTCATGAAAGATTTGTTTGTGCACACAAAACTTTTTGCCTGCCTTTTCAGAGAGAAAACTTTTGTGGGTGAAGAAGTTTTTAGCAGTGTCGTGGACAGGAAAGATGTCCCGCCTATGCTCCTGGACTCGAGGTCGTTACTTAACTCACGTGCCTGTGATAATACCATTTTATGTACAACAGATAGTCTTGTGAACATGTCACCTGCCGACGGCATAGCAGTGAAATGGAGAACTCATTTTGATAATAATGGACACGCAAAGTTCAACTCTGTTCGGGAATGTGCAAGTAGCATGCATATCAGAAACACGGGTCGTAGAAAGTCTCCCGATAAACACATTCAAAGAAATAATTGTCATTGCTGCTGCTCGATTTGCGGTGGCAGTGGCGATGCAATTGTTGAGGTTAACAGAAGATCACGGCATTCGTCACAGTCAAACTGTGACCGCAGAAATGTCGGAGACTCTAACCAGCAAAACCTAACGTGGCTTTATATGATCGTGTGGCTTGTGAGCGTCTTGCCGTACATTAATGGGCTCACAGGTGAGTTCGTTCACGATGATCTCAGCGCCATTACCTCAAATCCTGACGTCACCGGAGCCAATCCTCTCTACCAAGTTTTTCTCAACGACTACTGGGGCAAGCCGCTGTCGCATCCTCTGTCCCACAAGTCCTACAGACCTCTAACAATTCTCACGTTCAGGTAAGATTAATTAGTAATAACTATCACTGTACATATTTTTAGTCTAACGCCAGGCTAACATTCAATATTTTTGCACTCTGCTGATGTCGGCGATGTGAACACAAAACCCACAGACGTCGGCCATGTCGAACATGAGACGTGCTCATCTATTATGTCTATGTTCGCCAGCCTTGCATCACGTCTGGTATATTCCAATATTAAAACTTCATTTGCACAGCTAAAACAAAAAGATTATTTTAGTATTATACAAGCATTTCAACCCACCGAAGTAAACTTTACTAATTGTTAACTACGATCTGGAAGGAGTATTACTAAGAAGTATAACAAATTTCTTACTAAATTTCAAGCTGCAGTAGTCAAGGCAAGTCTATACAATCATATACTGAGATTCCTAGCCGCAAGCCGTCTCACTTTGCACGGAATAAACCAATTCGTTTAAAAATCAATCGTCAAGTCGACGCTGCATCGCATGATTCGCACTGATAGCGTTCATGGCCAATTTCGCTAGCCGCGCACGATCGAGAAACTCGTATAGATGAAAGGGAAAGATTTCACTTGTTCGTAGCACGGATCTCGCTCCTCGCATAAACTTGGCCGAAGAATTTAATTACACATTTATAACTTGAGTAAGTTTCAAATTGTTCTGAGTTTCCAAGCAAATTCAGTATAATGCAACGAATTATTATTTGACGATGATAAATCAGAGGGCGAGCTTATTAAATGCGGAGAAGATGAATTTTTCGAATTACTTTTCCACACGATGCTGCAGCCTAAATGAAAATCTACGGTATATACTACGAATGTTTAAGTAATTCATCCGACTTCGTGTATTGTTAATACGAAGCGATTGCACGTCACGAGAAAATTGAGAACTTAGTAGAGAGCATCGAAACAACACTACCGTCTAGCATTAGTTAAAATTGTTAGACCATTTCCTTTAAACTGTTTAATACTCAATTCATTTACTTCATCTTGTATAAAAACTTTGTATTCGTCGCAATGGTTCAGACAAAAATATACATTTTCTGTGCTTAATCTTAATAATTTTGTGCTCGACTAAATTTTACGGCGCTCAATGCTTATTTGGATAATACAAGATCGAGCTCATAATGATCGCATCACTTTACTTTTTGTTCGTAATATTTTACCTTCTTAATATTTTATTGGAAGCATTAAAATTTAAAATTTTTCCAATAGCGAGTCAAATTACAAATACTCTATCATAAGTAAATTGTTTTTGTGGTTAATTAGAAAGCTCACGTTGGTTATCATCAATACTATTTTATAGATAATTTAACAGGAGTAAAATTTAGCCATCACAGCCGCGCGAGAAAGTAACAGTGCGAGAAGTGACAATTTATTAATGCTAAATATTGCCTTGCAATCTGACATGATTTTAGTATTTTATAGTTAGATGATAATTATGTTTGATTTAAGGACCAGAAAATGCTCTTTGTCAATAATTATCTAATTATTTTCACCTTTGAATATAAAAAATATGGTTTATTGTATCATACTGATGACATACATAATATATTTTAATAAAGAGCATTTTATGGTCTTCAATCAAACATGGATAAAGAAAGAACTTCTGCCGAACAATTCCAAATTGGTCGATTCTGTATCATATAGGCTACATATTTGGCCGTTAATAGTGATACAATTTCAGGACATTTTTATTTGTACATGCCTGTAAAGAATATGGCTCTTTGTTCGGGGGATTGTTGAGAATGAAAACGCGTTGTAGATTGTAACGGTTTCTGAAAACAAAGAATGAACAATTTGAATACAAATCGAGGTTATTCGAGATTATAAACAATATAGAGAAAATAGCCAAGGTTAACAAGTAAAAAAGGATCATAACATAATAACATAAGTAAATGATAACATACCAAATTGCTGAACAATCTCGGTCAAGTTTGGTTCAAAATGAATTTTGTCTGAGCTCATTAACTCTGGTCCTGCCTAAAAGGTCCCAACCTTATGTATACGAGAGAAGTATGCCTAGTAAAATTCTTTACAATGCCATTGATTGAACGCAAAACTCTACTTGGAAACTTAACGTGAGCTTCTGTCGGTATTTGTGAACAAGCTTTGCTGTAGACAATTCTTCCTATGATATTGAATTTTTTATTATAGATTTATTCACGGCAATCAACTTAACATTGCTCAGAATGTGAGTAGCGAGTTCTTGCAAAAAATATGGGATCGTAATGCTAATATTATAATCATACTATAATAAAACTTTTTGAGCAGTAAAACCTCATCGTTTTTCAGCACGCCGCCATCGATGTCCGCAATTTGTATATTATGTCAGGTTACAACTTCTTACATAACTTCCCTCGGGCCATGCTTCGTAAAGTGGGGATTTCAGGCCTTGAGTTCTATCAGCTCTTCTACATTGCTTAATACTCGGCTGATGAGGCGCAGCTTTGGGCAAACTGTTCACTAGAAATTAAAAAACTAGAAGCAAATAAAATTCAACAAATTTACCATATCTTTATATAAACTTTCCGGAGTCCAACTCTAGAATAACCTATTCACTATATCAGGGACGTCTCTCACGTGGCCTAATAATGAGACGCGGAGCTAGGCACACTATTCACTATATCAGGGGCGTCTCTCACGTGGCTAATTAAGTCAATTACGGAGCCTGGCGTTCACCAATGACCGCTTAATGCTCTGCTGATGCTCACTGCGTCGTTTTAATGACCGACCTGAGATGCCCTGTGCCGAGCGCGTGTCGGACGTTGCCGCCAATAAGATCTCTGGTTATCATAACAACAGGATTCTTTGTTTTTTTTTTGCTTTAGTTTTCAATAAAATGCGCAAAAATATCTCTCCAGATATTGACAGTATAAATATACATATTTTTTATTGTCCAAAGACAATTAAATTGAAATGTTTCAGCTATACAAATCCTCGGATCATTTGAAAAGGATTTGTATATATTTGTATAGCAAAGGATCATTTGAAACTAATTCCAATAAATATTCTTTTGAAAAGCCTGCAAGAGATGACGTTGAATTTACAGATGGACCGGAGCCTGAGAATCCAGATACTGGTAACTTTGAATCTAAAACTTTTCCTTAAGATGATCGTGCACAAATAAAAATCATTAGCAGCGTACCGACGCCCTATTTTTCAACCTAGATTTTATTATATGAATTTGTACCGATTTATATGCAGCATATCCAAGCCAACGGAAAACTTATGTTAAATTTTATAGGAGAATGACTGAATTTTTGTTGAATATGACGTTCCTTTTTTTCTGTGTGAGTTAGCCCTCAAAATCATTCATATCTGCACCCAAGCGGACTCTAAAAACTAGAAACCCATAATAGTAAATTAGTTAGAAATATTTGGGAGTGTTCTTTCTCCAAAAAAAGTCAAAAATTATTCTATGGAACAAGATTGTAACTACGGAGCTATATTTAAATGGGATTATTAGTGAATCATGAGATATTTTGTTTTCAATCCGATATAGAATATTAATTGTCGTATGGGTGCAAGGCTTATAGCTGCTTCAAAATATAAATTTTCCATAAAGAGCTCTGACGTGAGTAGATAATTTCTTGGCTGCGATAGGACTTCGACTGAATTAATTTGATTAAATCGTAATCCTCGTTAAGGACGAACATGCTCAATTTCTGCCAAGACCGGACGTAATTACTCAAGTCTCCCCAGACGGCCTCATCGGAGCCACGGTGCTCAGTATTTTCGGGATAAATTCGGGGTTTCACAAGTCGATGTGACTCATTCAAACGCCTTGTTGCAAGCGAGTGTAAAACACATGGAAGACCAAGTCTAAATAATGTATCATGAGGAATCGTCCACAATATAATTCAATATATTACGTTAAGGATGGCGCTAATGTAAGACAAGAAGTTTTTTACAGCAAATGACTACATTTTTATTAATACTTAATAAATCACATTTTAGTATCAGCTTTCAGATGAATGATGATTTTTGATTGAATTTTAAATCCTAAAAATCTTCTACTTAACTTTTATTGCAATACGACACAATATATACGCATTAATAATTAATCAGCTTTTGTCATAATTCATGATTTTTATTAATTATAAAACCTGGATTTTGCAGGCTGACGCACTCCCTAGTGGGTCTGTCCTCTGCGTGGTTCCACCTCGGCAACGTGGCGCTACACGCGCTGGTCTGCCTGGTCTACACTCGCCTTCTCACCCGCCTGCTTTCCCCCCAAGCTGCTCTCTCCCCAGCCCTCCTCTTTGCCACCCACCCCATCCACACCGAAGCAGTGAGTAACCTGACTAGATTCTGTACAAACGACATTTATAGCTGAAAATTGGTTGTAAAATTATAGGAATTTGTAACAAAGAAACATTTTCGAGGAAAAGTTAATTCCTGTGAACAATTCTTGTGAAAAGTTAATTCTTGTGAACGCGAACATTTCGACCAAAGTTTCAGTGCTTTCCTTCTTGTTGGTTGACAACTTAGAAAAGATAGCATAGAAGCCGGTGGACTAATCTGATATTCTGAATGTTTTCCAGCTGTAGTGGACGTTTCAGTTAAATGAAAAAGGTATAAATGGAGCTAGCTTCTTCAAAATTAATTTATTTTAATCGTTACAAATACGTTCATCTCGTAAATAATTGATGTGCATTCATAATTTCTGGTCTCTAACGAATAAAATTCTACTTATTATTTTCCGTTTTAGGAACGCTGAATATTCAAAACTTAATTGCGAACGCTGAGCAGCAAATGCTTTATAGTGAAAGCTTAAATGTGAACGTTGAACAGTTGGGGTTATATGATGAAAGCTGAACGTTGAACGTTGAATATTGAAAACTGAAGTGTGAACACTAAATAATTAATAATGAATTGTGAACGATAAATAATATATGCTGAACAGAAAACGCTGACTGATAAAAACTTAACGGTTCACACTGAACGTTAAAAGCTGAATTATGGAATCCGAACTGTGCATGCTGAATAATGAAAGCCTAAACTGTGAACGACGAACAGTGAACGATAAATAACGAAAGTCGAACAGTGAACGATAAAAAACGAAAACCTAACAGTGAATGACGAACAGTGAGCAGAGAACAGTGAACGATAAATAACGAAAGGCGAACAGAGAACACGGGCATCCGCTGGTGCCGAGAACGCGGCAGGCTGTGAGGCAGCGGCTCATTAATATTGTGTGACAGCCTGCATTGTTCAGAGGCAGGACTGCCGCGTGCCTGTCCTGCCGGTGCTTACTCCATTACACAGCTGTGTCAATTACAGTGCTTACTGTGTTGTACAGCTGTGTTATGTACGGTGCTTACTCCATTACACAGCTGTGTCAATTACTGCGCTTACTGTGTTGTACAGCTGTGTT